ATATAAACTTGACTTGATATATTTTCTTATATCAGTGGTAAACTTTGAATTTATGATTCAGTTCAGCAAAATAAACAAATTGAAAAGGTGAAAGATTCCTGTCCTGCTCCTGAACTGTTAGCTTTAAATAACTATGCCTCCTGAGCAATTTAGTTGAGTAACCCTGTATTAATGATTTAAATTAAGCTGCTTYAAAGCCAGCATTGACCATAAACTACACCTTAACATAAACCGATTATGCATGAGAATACCCTGTTAGAAAGAGTGTCCTGAATTCAAGATGGCTACTCACTTAGTCAGTCATAAGAGCATGTTAAAACAATGTTTCCATGCAGAAAATACCACATAGAGCTCAGTTATTGTTKTATAGTCGTTTAGTCGAGGAATGCATCATATYATGTTTATTTAMACTTACCTAACTCACTGGAATGSAAATTGTTGACATAACTTAGTTAAGTAAATCCAACAATCATTTTTTTARTGTAATCAGTTATTTRTTGTGTYACARCTTAATATGTATATTTTGAGTTGCAATGTAATTAGGAATCCTTTGCTGTAGATACTTGCATTGTCTTATTTGCTGTAACAGGCCACACCATTAGTCTGCATCATAAATATTATTTTCTGTTCTTTACATTGATTAAATCATTTTTAAATTACCAGCATCAATTTGTCGGACTCGATTAAATGGAGGTTCTGTGTGAAGTTATCATCAAAAATCTACTGTGCTACCTGGTTATCTCTAGCCTGGCCCTTGCCTTCCTATGCAGCTCTGCTCAATTCTAGTTTCCCTTCACTGCTCCATCTGGGTCTTCTCCCAGTGAGATGGATTTCGCTGGCAGATTTTTAGCCGGGCCAATCAGAGAACAGAATGTATATTTTCTGTGCAGTGTCTGCTTGTAGTTTATTTTACCTGGGCCAATCAGAAAACAGAAGGAGGAGCTTTGAACAATGTCGACTTTCTACGCAGTGTCTGCTAGTTAGTTTAGCATATGGCAGTGGAGGAAGTGAATGAAGCCAGTCTGTGTTGATAAGGCTTCCAAATTAAATTAAATTTGTCTGATAAAGCAGCAGCTCTCATTTACAGCCATCTCGTTCGGCTCAGTACTTCTCTCCTCCTGTAGGGTGTCCATAAAGGCCCTGTCCCAATACCCACACTCCCACCCCCGTTCCGCCCCTTTTGCACTTCAAATGCACGTTTACGTTGAAGGGATTCAGTGCGTAATGTGTCCCACATTCTCCACAGCTGCCCTTCACCCCACCCATTTTGGGTACTATTTCCGCCCTTCCATGAAGTCTGCATTTTTGCGGACGAATACAATAGAAGTTTACACATCAATAACTGTAAATTATTTATTTTTTTTATCAGAAAACATATATACTATGTTGTCGAAACATTTATAACATTTTCTTATGTTGTTTTATTTTATTTT